CTGCACGTATTTTCTCACAAGTCTCGGTTCTTACCTAACCTGCCCCCCCCCTTCCCTCCATCGCCTGAAGCTGCTCTCCTCCTCGGGGTCTCTTTTTAAGACGTGCAGATTAAATACCTTGGGAACATGACCGAAACAAAACCATTCTTTAGAATAAAGCAGTGGTTTTGACGTACTCTTCTCTACCTGATTGTAATTGCCACTGTTTTGCCCCCTTTTTAGTTTTTCCCCCAGTATTCACCTTGTTCCGTTTTCTCCCTCCGTTAGTGCGAATGTACTAGACTTTCAACGGAGAATGAAGTAGGACTTTTTCTTTTTTCCCCAGAATGATTTTATGTAAGGCGAAGGGCATTTGAAAACTTGAGTGATTTTCGTATCATTTCACTTTGTACTCAGAAGTTTTGCTTAATGTCCATTTACCGGAGAATGTCATGTCGTTATTTCATGCTTTTTGCCTTCCCGTAACTGATCTTGAAGCACCCCAAATCCGACTTACTTGCGATGTCATGACAAGGTCTCAGACTTCCCTCTCACAGATTTACCAGTGTTAGCAGTTTAAATAAGTTTGCAAGGTTATATGACTACGTTTAGTTTTTGTTTTTTGGTATGGGGGGATCGAACTCAGGACCTTGCGTTTTCGAGGCAGGTCGTGGCACCACTGAGCTAAATCCCCCCCAATGACTATGTTTAGTAACATTACGGAATCTTCTGGCTTAATCCGATCCCAACATTTTTTAAAATGAAGAAAGTGGTTCCATTCTTCTAAAGAATCGTAGGCCAAATGTCATGCCATTTCCCCTTAAGTTATATAAAAAGAAAGTACTTTAAATGTGTATTTTTATGAGTCTTTGTTTAATAGCTGTCTAACAAATTGCAGAGACTGTACAGAACTTTTGAGCTCTATTTGATTGATTACCAAAATCATTGATCCATATTTTTCCGTTGGTATTACTTACATTTCTTATTGATATTACTAGCAAAATTTAATTGTAAGCTGTTATATTTCAGGTGAGATTTACTTAGTATAATATCCATTTAAGAGCTGCGTAAGTGGAATTAATGGTAACTGACACTTTATGTTGAGGCTGACAATTCAAATGGTGTTCCTTTCAAACTGATACATAGTTTAAGGAGCTAGGAGGCACTGTGGAGTAATACCATCCTTTGGCTATTAAATAAACTGAGATCAAATGCACTTGTAATTGAAGGCACAAGTCAGATCCTGAAAGAACATTCAAATCGTAAATTATGTGTTTTGTATATGGTGTAGAGTGATTTACGTTAAAAGCTAAATTTTTAGTCTACAGATCCTATCACCCTTGTGCTTTCTAAAGAAATTATCGTTAACATATAAAAAGAAACAGTGTAAATATAAGATGGGTGAGTGTTAGCATTTGTGATAATTTGGTTGGATTAGAGACATTGAAGTAGAGAAGTGTGAGGGAAATGGCCTGACAGTTGCTGAACTGAGAAGTTTTTGTAGATTTCCTTACACTTTGTAAAGTTGCTCTGTAACCTTTCATAGGTGATTTGCATTAAGAATTGTTTAATAAGTGTACAGATAAAATTGTCTCTTAAAGTATACCATTTGTTGCTAATTTTTTTATAGCAGCAGTATTTATCTTCTTTATTTACTGGATAAATATTTGTGAGCTTGTTAGATACAGCTACCTTAAAAACTAAGATGTTCAGTGAAAACATCATTTTACATTATTTTAGGTTCGCATACTCAAGTACAGTGAGAAGTTAATATAGTTATAAAGAAAACCATGAAAGAAATATGATTATACGTATTGAAGTTTCTTCATATGCTATGCTTTAATGTCAAGAGGACTTTTTTCCCCAAACATGATCCTGAGGCAAATTTTGAACTTGGTTTAAGTGAACAATTGAATCCTTTTACTTTTAATTGGCTCTTTGTCTCTTGGTTGGTATCATTCCAAAATAATGCATTTTCTGCAGAATTTGGGAGATCCAAGTCTGTTTCTCTTTAAAAAAAATTTTTTTTTTAATGGAAAAGATCTTCATTTTGGTCTTACCTATCAAATAGCTTAACATTTTTAAAGAAATGTAATTATATCATCTGAATCAGTATTCATATGTTAGATCTCTCTGTAAATTTTACACACAAAAGGGAAGGCAGGTGGTGTTAGAATCCAGCTTCCTAATGTAATACTTCATAAAAGCTTTGTAATACTGGTTTGTAGCTTATGAATTAGAGAAGCTAATTTTACAAAATTAGCATAATGGGAAAGGATAATAGCATTTAGGCTATTAAACTATTTTAGGCATAGTGGTTGCTAGTTTAGATTCTGTGAGTGTCCTTGAGTAATGTTTTATTTTATTAATAGTATAGTAGGAAGTAACTTTTTCCTTCTAACTATACAGTTTTTTGCCTCAAGTAAAATTTTAGAAAAGCCATCCGTCCCCTTAAATTTTTCTTTTCTATTAAGTAATATTTTATTATAGAATAGTATAGTACACTAAAAAAGTATAACTCTTTCACCAATGGGAATAAATGGCTCCCACACACACAGGCAAAACCCCAATACTGGGCGTTGAATCCAGGGCCTTCACACTGAACTACATCTTCAGCTTTTTTTTTTCTTTTTTAAAATATTTTGAGACAGGGTCTTGCTGAATTGCCTTGGATGTGCTTAAATTTCAGTCCTCCTGCCTTAGCCTCCCAGAGTGCTGGGATTATGTGCATGTGCCACCATGCCTAGAGGGAATATTCTTAACATTATATCATATTTCTCTCTTTTTGTTTGTTTGTTTGTTTGTTTGGTACCGGGGGTCAAACTCCGGTCCTTGCGCTTGCGCAGCAGGCGGCGAAACCAGTGAGCTAAATCCCCGGCCCTGTATCTTAAATTTTTCTAGGAGAGACAAACTACTGGTAAATTCCTAGAAGGGAAATTATGAGTGAGAAAGTATTATTTTTACATTAAAGAGTTATGTATTTTAATTACCAAATCTATCATGTTGATTATTGAAAAATTTAGACCTATAGATAAATGAAAAGAATTATCCATAATACCATTACTCCGGGATAACCATCATTAGTTATTTTCAGGTCTTTCCTATGTCAAGATAACTGAGTTTTCCTCAACAGCATACCTTTTATATTGTTTAAAGAACATATAGACATGCAGTCCATGGGATCTTAGAGATATTCAGAGGTTCTGAAAATTACCTTATTAAAATGGCAGTAGATGTTAGGCTACTTACTTATCCTTAAGAGAACCTGGAATGCAGAACTGATATAAAGAACATTCTGAAAACTGCTTCTGTTCACTGAAACGCTTTCTGTGTACATTTTGGAATGTTTATGTTTAGGCATAATTCCTAAACTACCTTAAAATGTAGGATTTTTTTTAAAACTTTCTAAAATGGTTAAAGTTTAAAACTGCATTTTTATAGCAAGGGTGAAAACATAGAGAAGGGTGTATTACACCATGATTATAATGTCTCTTGAAGAAAACTTTTTTTCTTTTTAAGAAAACTTATTTTTAATGCATTGGATTTTATACTTTACTTTAAAATTTAAGACCCCTC